CCAGCTGGCTGTCCTCCAGATTTCCTGGCACAACTTAGTGAGCACATCCAGGGCAGTGTCTGTTTGTTGAGATAAATAAATTGGTATGCAGTTAACTCCTGGAGCCTTGTTTTTTTTGCCAATTCCTTCATAGCAACTTGAATTTCCTCCTTCATCACCGTAGGTTCTTGCTCATATGTTATTTCATGAAATTCCTGTGTCAGCCAATTCCTTTTGATACAGTGACTCTGTGTACTCCTTCCATCTTCTTTTGATACTTCCTGGATCATTCAACATTCTACCCAAACTATCTTTAAGTATTGCCATGCGTGGCTAGAATTTGTTTTTCAATTCCTTCAGCTTAAGAAACGCTGAGGGAGTCTGGCCCTTTTGATTTTCTGACTCCAGCTCTCTGCACATTTCATTATAGTATCTTGCTTTGTTGTCCTGAACCGCCTTTTGACATTTTCTGTTCAGCTCTTTGATTTCTTGATTTCTTCCTTTGGATTTGGCTTCTCGGCGCTCTAATGCAGTAGTACAAACTTAATTTTTAACCACTGCAAGGTATTTAAGAAACTAGTTTCCTACTACTAAAGTACAAGAGATTAGTTTCCTGTTACTTCACTGACTGTTTTAGAGATTTGATTTGTTTTTGAAGTTAATAATTGGACCTTCTTGTCTGTTTACATGAAGTTGGGTTTTTGCATGGATTTGTATTAGAAAGAGAATGCTTTGGGAACCTCCAAGTCCATGCTGGGAAACTGCCTGCAGGCACAACCCACACCTAGCCTGGCTTCCTTGTATTTGTTGTTGACCAAGCCTGCAACTTTGCCTGACTGACCCTTTGGCCCTGGAGGCCCTGGCTCACTCTATTTCTGTGCTGACTGGCACTAGGCACCCCCTGCATAGACTGTACAGCTGCACCCATGACCACGCCCCTTGCATGTCCAGCCAAGGCCCCACCCACGCCGCACCTCCAGCCCGACTCCACTCGTGACCACCCGCCGTCCAGTACAGGCCCCGCCCCTTCTGCTCCTCAATGACAGGCCCCAGGCAGGCCCCGCCCACCCGGCTCTGCTCGCTGAGTTGCATTTCCAGCTCCTGGTGTGTGAGTCCTTTGCAGGAACTTCAGCCTGTGCCTCTGCTTTTCCTAGGCGGGCACCGGGAACATGGTAGTGCTGAAGGGTATCCCCGCCATACTGTCCCCCGAGTTGCTCTACGCTCTGGCGCGGATGGGGCACGGAGACGAGATTGGTAAGTGCATCTGCTCAGTGCCCTGGGGACGTCCTGCGGGCCCCAGCCGACACACCTGAAGGGCTGGGGAGTGGGTAATAACCATCAGATGCCTGCAAAGGCTAGGCCCAGCGTCCGGACCGCAGAAACCGAGCTCCCGCAACTCTGACCCTCTCTCCACACGGGTCACGTGTCCGCCACCATTCTATGGCTCCCTGGAGGTCACGGAAGCACCACGTTCTGGTGGATCCTGTAACCTCTCCCCTGGGTGTGTGCCTGTGTGGCCAGGAGCAGCCACTTAGCTTTACAGAGTTACAGGCTCCAGGGCTGGGCCAGGGTCCCACCCACACCCTGCCTCCTCCTGGGCCATGACAGACCAGCCCACTCTTAACACATGCTGTCTCTGGCCCATGCTCGTTGAAGACGCAGGGGTTGGAACTCCAGCCTCTCCAGCTCTCTCAACCCCTACTGTCCACCCCTGCTCTCCAGTCCTGGTTATTCCTCCTGCAGGGGTCTGAAGAAAGGAAGGGACACAGGAAGAAGCCTGGGCTATCAGCTGCCCATTCTTCCCAGGTTGGTTCTTCTCCCCCTGGGTCCCTGGAGTGACCCCAGTCTGTATGGATGGACACAATGTAGGAAGTCAGATTAGGTAGGTGACCAGGCTATGACTTGCTACAGTGAGTGATTTGACCCCTCCCCATTCAGTCCTTGCAGATGGCAACTTCCCCACTTCGTCCCTGTGCCAGTGTGGCCCGATGGAGATCCGAGCTGATGGTGAGCTGTGCCCTTCCTCCAGACCCCCAGGGCTGGGATGGGGTGGTCTTGACTGAGGCTCTGGGGGCTGTGGCACTGCCTCATTCCCCTCTTTCTGGGGAAACTCCTGAGAACAAGGTTCTTGAAATCCATCTACTCTTAAGCCCTGTTGCTTCCACCAACAAACAATCTTGGAGACAGGTTGGAATGAAAGAAGTGGAAGTTAATTCACATATATGCTAATCCAGAGGAGATACGGGTGCAAGCTTATCAAATCTGCCTGCTGGAGAAAAGCTTGTCAGGCAGGGGCAAGATTGAGTGTGAGATGTTTTAGAGTATGGTTTTTTGTCTGGGCCTAGTAATTGTGTCCCAGGCTAACTGACAGCCTTCTCAACATCCCAAGATTACTTGCTCTTCGTGCTAAAAATGAGTAATTCTCACATGCACATTACAGGGTAGACAGGCAAACAACATCAGAAGGTTTCAGGAGCTTTTAAAAATTTAACGTTCCTTAGATTTTCATATTTATTGATGGGTTTGTTTTTTTTTCTCATTTACATCATGTTTCATACAATCATTCCTATAGGTTGTGTATAGCATTTTTCAAAATCCTTGCTCCTGAGTGCTGCATAGCATTCCATGGTGTGAATGTACTACAGTGTCTCAATCCATTCATTTGCTGATGGACATTTGGGCTGTTGCCATGTCCTTGCTATGTGATGAGGACACTTGTTTAGGGGAAAGACCTCCTCCTTTTTAAAATGTTATAGAAAAGATCATTAGTCTTAGGATAGCTGAGAGTATTGTGCTCAGGGCATTGTGTAGGGTTGGTTCCTTTTAGTTGAGATGTTAATTTGTTGTTGTTCTGTTAGTTGCAAAAGAGTCTTTATGTTTCAGGGTATGTAAGAGAGAAATTAGTTTCCTTCTATTGAGGTGTTATATGACCAAGGTCAAAGGGAGAACAAAGAATTAAAAAAATATCAACATGTCAACAAAGGGAGTGAACAACCTCAACTACCATGGAGTGCCCTTCCCTCCCTTCCCTCCCTCAAGACCCTTACTATAAAACCTGCACTAATCTACTTTAGGTTGTGATATTTCCCTGGTCTGTCCCTCTGCCTGTTTCTCTCTCTACAGACCAAGGAATCCCACCCCGGAGACCCCTTAATACAGCTTCATTAGCTTCCTTTCTTTCTCTGGTCCCTTCCTTGAGTCCTTGGCCTTATGTCCAGTGCAAAGACTTAACACTATGGTATTACTTTCCTATTACTTTATTGACAATTGCAGTCCCCTTTGATTTAGAAGTCTCCAATCTTGGAAAGTAGGGCCATGACTTTTTCTTGGTACTTCCTACTGATCAGGGGGAACTAGGGAGAAGTGAGAGAAGGAAACCCCACTTTCCTAACAGGGAACACTTTAGTGTAGATTTTTTTTTTTTTTTACTTATGTACCATGGACTGCCAAGAAAACAAACAGATTCATCCTAGAGAGGGTTAAACCAGGCTACTCCTTGGAGGCAAGGATTCTGGGGCTTCGTCTGACATACTTTGGACGTGTTGTAAGGAGAGACAGGTCCTTGGAGAGGAACATCATGCTTGGTAGGGTAGAGGGACAGCGCAGGAGGGGAAGACCCTCTATGAGGTGGATTGATTCAGGATGGTTGTGTCAGAGGCAATGCGATTGGCACAGGACAGAGCAGGGTTTAGGGCTGTTGTACATAGGGTTGCAAACAACTTGACGGCACATAACAACAACAACAACTTATAGCTTTTAATACATATAGATGTTCTCAAGGTGTGGTTTTAAGAAGATAAATGAGTGATGTCAACATAAGCCCTCTGTTGTGGGCAAGGCTTCAGGGGCTGGAGCTGAGTCTCAGGTGTCCAGCTCAGAAGGACAGTATAGACGCTTGGCTATGGTGGAGAGAGGCATGACAGATACCAAGCTGCTATCCTGACTTGTCCCTTCGCTGGTCTGTCAGCTGCCCTGTGCCTGAGGCATCCCACCTATCCTTGATGTCCGGGCAGGGCAAGTATCTGAGCTGCACTCTATCCTCCTGCCCGTGCCCCAGGCCTGGGCATCCCACAGCTCCTGGAAGCCATACTGAAGCTGCTACCCCTGGACACCTATGTAGAGAGTCCGGTGAGGACCGGTGGGGCCCACTCCCTAGACAAGGCCCCCTGCTGGCATTTCCTTGAGCGTGGGAGGGGTGTGTATGTGTGTGTGTGTGGATATGTGTGGATGTGTCTGTCTGTCTGTCTGCACTCAGCCCATTCCCTTTCCCACATGGGGCCCCTGCTGGCATTTCCTGGTGGGTGCATGTGGGAGCCTGGCGTAGGTACGGGTAGGATGACTAACAACACGCCTTCCAGGCAGCTGTCATGGAGCTGGTGCCCAGTGACCAGGCCAGGGGCCTCCAGACTCCAGTGTGGAGACACTACGAGTCCCTCCTCAATCAGGCAGGCTGCATGGTGAGCCTCCACACCTCTGAGACCCTGCCTTACTGTGGCCACTGATGGCCAGCTGGGCCTTCTTCTGCCCACTCCTGGTGGGCCCACACTCCCTATCCTCACCCCCAGCAGCTGCTTTTCCTCTGTGGTCTTGGGGTGGGTCTACCTGAGGAGCTGAGATTATGGGGGCTCCCTAAACAGATTAGGTGACCCTACAGGCCCCTAGCGAGACAGACTTACAACTCACAGACCTCTGCTGACCACCGCTGTTTGTCTTCCAGACACCACTTGAGAAAGTTGAGCGGTTTGCGTTTTATGAGAGGGCCAAAAAGGCCTTTGCAGTGGTAGCCACTGGGTGAGTCCCATAGAAATTGTCCCACCTTCTGGAGGCCCCACCCACAGCTCAGCCGCACCACACTTCCCAGAGGTCCTTCCCCAGGCTGGAGGCAGGGGGCAGGGGGAGGGTCCCCCACCTTCCAGAAATCCTGCTCTGGCTTGGCCCTGCTGGCACCTACCCAGAACTCCATAATGCACCACAGAGGGCAGGACTTGGGAGCAAAGGGAAGGATTGTCCCTGTTTGTCCCAGAGCCTCTGTCTGGGGGTGAGATGCACCCAGATGACCATCCCTGAGAAGAAGGGAATGGAGGTCTGACAGGCCTCACCCTCATCCACTGCCCTGGTGCTGGGGACCTCATGAGGTGAGGACCCTACATGTGTCCTCATATCACACAGGGAGACTGCCCTCTATGGAAACATCATCTTGAAGAAGGGGGTGCTTGGCCCGGATGACATGCCACTCTGTGACTTGAAGAGGAATCCAGTGCCCCCCGTACCCTGGTAACCCCAGTCACCCATCGCGAGCCACCTTGGACACTGTCAGGGTTGGTGGGGTGGCTCTTGTGTACTCGGCCTGTGGGGAGCAAGGCCATCTCTTGCTTCACAGGATGGAGTTGTAGTCAAAGTGCACTTTGAATCCCATGGCGATCTTCTTGTGGTTCTGCTGGCTGCAGGAAGGTCACTAGCTCCCCAAACGCACCAGAACAGCCCCCGACAGCCCAAGGAAGCCTGTTGGGAGATGCATGTGGGAAATAAGGCTGTGATTTCAATCTTCCCTGAGAGGCTGGTTGAGAGACCCCTGGAGGGGTGCAGACCAGGGTCGAGCCTCAGGGAGGAGGGTAGGTGTTGCCGTAGGGGTGAACTGTGCAGGGACCAAGAATAACAGACACTCCTGTGGCCCAGGGGGCATTAGGGGCTAGCCTTCAAAGACCTAAAAGCCCCTGGAGGGTTGGGGGTACATGCATATTAGGGTGCTGCTGAGAGTGGGTCAGAAGTATAACCTGAGCAGCCTGAGGTGTGGACTGGGGAGGTGGTCTTGGATGATGTGCATCTGCACCCCGTACCCCTAAAAATGCTGAGCACCTCCTGTATATAGGCCTGCTGAGTCCAGGCTGTGGGGATGGGATTTAGCTGCTGCCCCTTGTGAAGTGGCCCTGCAGGACAGGGGAGCAGAAAGAGGGTGCTCTATGCAGAGTCCAGACCCAGGGTGTGGTGGTTTCATGGGCAGTTAATGCCTGGACTGTGTACACGATGAGGGGATTTCCCCCAGGCCTTCTGGTTCACAAGAGCCTTCTTAGTGCCCCACCAAATGTGATAACCATTTGTGTGGGAGAAGACAGGACTGAGATCTCTGGTGGACAGATGGAGAGTGCTGGGGGACAGGGCCCCTGGGAGCAGATTCATAGCTCTTGTGGTCAGCCTCCAGGGAGCCTCCTTGGGCACAGGAACTGGAAGCTGGTAGTCCTGATGCTACTGGAGAGGCATCCCGGACACTCAGACCTGCATTCACATGGAGGTGGGGAGATGAGCAGAGCTGGGTAGGGGGGCAAAGTGACAGGAGAAGTTCAGGCCGACTAAAGAAGGGAGGGTGTTAACAGTTTGTCCATAGCCTCAGGGGCCCTGCTCCTCTGTAGTGACTCCCACTCCCTCCTCCCCACTCACAAAAGTGTCAGGCCCTTGAGCCCCTGTCTGGACATTGGCAACAATGAGCTAGCTGCTCCCTTTCCTCAGGGCTGCTCTCTGCACTGGTGGTCTTGAGGCCTGCTTCTGGTCACCGGCCACACAGAGGTTTCATTTGTATGTCTTTGTGTGGTATAAACTACACCTACCGTCTTGGACAGTTGGATTTGTGTGTCCACCCAAGGAAGCAGCACAACCAGGTAGTGGACATGCCCAACATTCCAGAAGTGTCTGGCCCTGGGTACTCCCTCACATCTACATTCTGCCACTGTGTAGTAAATCACATTTTCCAGTCTTTCAAGAAGCAGAACCACATGGAGACACCCTGATTCACTCAGCGGCATCATTTTGAAACACACCCACATCCCACCCAGCAGGACCATCACACAGATGCACATAGCTTGTCCTTCTATGTGTGTTGATAGGCACCTGGGTGGTTTCTAGTTTGAGATTGTACAGATGACACTGAACTCATATACAAGTCATACGGACACTTGCTTTCTTACTTCTTGGACAAATAGGAATGGAGAGACTGAGGCATATAGCAAGTATCTTTGATTAGATTTTAAAGAACCTGCCAAGCTTCTCAAAATCATCTGTGCCATTTGATATTCCCACCAGCAGAACATGAGGGCCTCACCTCCCTAAATTTCCCCACTTCCCCCAAGTCTTTCATCTCTTCCACTACCCCCCAATTCCTCCACCTCCCCCACTATAAGGATGAAATCAAAGCTATTCAATTTTGCTGATCTGATCTTACTCAAATGTGTCCCTGTGTAGCAGGAAATAGTAAATAATCTGATGAATGTTTACCCTAAACACTGGTTTATGTGCTAATGGAAAATGACCCCAGGACCTTGAAACTGCTGTGACCACCCCCAGCCTCTCAACATGGAATGGATAAAACTTTATTCAGTGCTGACACCTATGGGGGCCTCAGTTCAGATTTCACCAAAGTGTGCATTTTAAATAAAGCATATATGCTATGCACTTGGGTAGCGTTGCTTCTAGACCTGACAGTGAATTTTAACCCTTCCTCTGGTGGCCCATATGAAGAGAGGTCTTCAACAGATCTCACCGCAGTTCAAAAGCAGTCAAACTCTGGGGCTGGAGCCTCTTGGTGTCACCACTGCTCATTGGTAAGGTAACTCCATCTCTCCTTGCAACCTGAGATGCAGTAGGCAGCATACCCTCAGATCCTGGAGAGGGAAGTTCCCTGCTTTTTTCCTTCTTTCTCTTTTGACAACCAAAAAAGCTGATTTTTGGCCTGTTCTCTGGAGCCACCTATTTTCTAGTATATGACCATACTGTTCATTCCGAACTCCAGAGCTAGCTAGAGGTCCATTCCTCCAGGAATCCTGGTCCAGTCTATGCATTGACACCCAACTGGAGACTTGAGGCTTCCTCAGGCCAAAGAGTGAGCAGCCAATGGGGGCGCCTTTTGAACTTGACCCTTTTCCAAATAGTTGGCTCTAGAGTTCGGTCAAACAAGGGTAACTTTCTTTGCACTCAGGATACAACCCACCCTATACCCTTCCTGTTCCCCTTAACAAAATCCTGTTACTTATTCCTCTGCTCCCCGATCCAATCCCATATCCATGGAGCCTTCTCTGTCTGTAGACTCTATGGACCCAGCAGACCATGCCTCTCCACATTGCATGGAAATTACCCATGCAAACTCTACCCCAACTCAGAGGGCCCCCTTATCAGCCACCTCCTCAGATAGTTGGTCCAAGAGCTGCTCCCCCACCCTCACCCTACCACATGCAGTCATGTCTCTCCCTGTCCACCTCTCCAGCTCCTTTAGAGAGGATGCAGGAGCAAAGGGAATTGTACTTGCTGTGCTCCTTTCTCTCTTCCTGGCCTCTCAGTTATTCACCAGACCCTAGGAGCTTTTTCATCTAAACCCACCACCTACATTAAGAAAGAACCCCTTCCTTTTCTCTCTCACCTTACTGAAGGGCCTACAAGGTTTACAGCTCTTGACCCTACCAACCCCAAGGCCAGTTAGTCCTTAATATGCATTTCATTTTGCAGTCTATTTCCGGTAAAGGAAAAAATTTGAAAATGTCCCCCAAGCTCCACAAGATCACCTGAGCCTAGCCACTAGGATCTTCACTAGTAGAGAAGAGTAGCTGAACAAAAGGCCCTAGCCCAAACACTTTGCCTAGCGATCAGGGATGGTAACCCCAACAGCCAGGCCTAACCACTGGCTGACTCGGCCACCAAGAGAAGGGGCTAGGTGGTCCACTCCTGGTGCTTGCTTGAGGCACAGACAGGAGAGACACTCGGCATCATGGTGTCCCTCCCCACAGCCCCTAAAGAACCATGGTTGGAGTGTGGAGCACTGGGAATCCCACTGCAAACATGTTTCACACGATACATTGTCAGCCTCATCCTTAGAAGCAGCTTCCTCCCTGCAACACCTGGATGATCTTGCCACCACCAAAACTGACAGAGCCCAGGGACCAGTGCCCTTACTACCATCACGCTAAGCGCAACCATGAGTTGTCATCTTTGTAAGAAGGTAGGCCCATTTCTTACTGATAAAGGAGCGACCTAGTCTGCTTTTGTTGAACATGATGGGCCATTCCAGGCATCAGGTCAGCCTGTTGTGGGAATTAATGGCTTAGTCACTTAGCCTCTAGCATCTCTCTTACTGGACTGCACTTTTATAATCACTCTGTCTTTACCCACTCCTTGGTCATTGATACTTGCCCCACCCCCCTTTCAAGACAAAATATACTAACTAAATTACGTGCAGACCTCTTCCTCCTGGGACCCTCCTCAACCCCTTGCACCTTTCTCCTTCCTTTGCCTCATTACCTCACTCCCTGACTTAGCACTTCTTGTCTTGTGGTCCATTTCCAACCTTGCACAAAGGATGGGACCTCTACACGCCATCCTTGAGCATCTCACCCTCCTTAAAATTTCCCTTCACCAACCACACTGCTGTGTCACCCAGAAGCAATAGCCAGTCTACACAGAAGCCCTTTATGGCCTCTAACCTCTGACCCTCTCTTCCCCTCAAAAAGGGATACAGAAGAATTTCATGAAACACTATATGAGCAAGAACCTATGGCGATGAAGTTCAAGCTGCTCTGAAGGAATTGTGGGGAAAAAAACCCAAGGCCTCAAGAATTGATGGCTTAATAATTGACTTATTTCAGCAAACAGATGCTGCCCTAAACACACTCACTAGGTTGTGCCAAGGAATCTGGAGGACAACTACCTGGCCACCTGAATGGAAGAGATCTGTATTCCCATTCCAAAAAAAAATGGTGACCCAACAGAATGAGGAAATTATTGAATGATATTACTAATATCACACACAAGCAAAATTCTACTGAAGATAAACCAGAAACAACTGGAACAGCACATCAGCAGAAAACTGCCAGAAGTGCAGGCTGGGTTTAGAAGAGTCCATGGTACTAGGGATATTATATCTAATGTTAGATGGATCTTGGCTGAAAACAGTACCAGAGGAACGTCTGTGTTTCATTGACTATGCAAAGGCATTTGACTGTGTGGATCACAACAAGCTGTGGTTAACTCTGAGAAGAATGGGAATTCCAGAACATTTGATTGTGCTTATACAAAACCTATACTTGGGCCAGGAGGCAATCGTAAGAAAAGAGCAAGGAAACACTGGGAAATCAGGAAGGGTGTGTGCCAGGGATGTGTCCTATCTTCATACCTTTTCAATCTATATGCGGGAACAGATCATTGGGGATTCTACCTCTCTCACCCCCTCCACCTCCTTCACCTCTCCTACCTCCCTTACCTGCCCCACCTCCCCTACCTTCTTCATCTCCTCCACACCTCCCCCAACTCCTCACTAGCACTTGCTGTGATCAGATTGTGGCCATTCTGCTAGGCATGTGGTAGTAACTTGTAGTTTTCATTTTTAATTTCCTGGTGATCAGTGATAGTGAGCATTATTTGATGAACTTATTTTCCATCCAGATGAGGTGATATGAAGGTTCAGATCTTTCAGCCTGAATTTTGCCCTGTGCACTATGGACTTGTTCTCCACCTTCTGGTCCTTTATCTGACTCTGCTGTGGAAAGCCCAAATCAGGTGTGGTTCTCTACTGAACCTGGCCTCCAGTAGCTGTTCTCTTGTCTCAGATACTAACCACTGTCCCTCAGGGCCCCCACTTACCCTGTCCAAGCACATAAGGGACAGGCCTGGAGGGATCAGGCCTTGGGACAGGGGCTGTCAGTGTGTGGTGGGGGTAGAAGCCCCAGAGGGACACAGCCCTGAGCAACCCCCTTTTGATATGCCAGGCACGGAGGCCACCCAGAAAGACGCTTTTCCACCTCTGCTTTCAGGGTTTATTGGTTAGGTCCTGGCAATGCCTCCAGGGGGTAGGGGGAGGGGGTGATCAAGGCTCCTGAGGGTGGTATATATGGTCACGGTCCTCCTCTGGCCCCTGGAGAATCTGATGAGCCAGCAGGACCACTGGCCAGGGTCCATCCACACCCTGTGTCTCCTCGGCTGTGGGGTGATAAGGGTGGTCTTGTTCTGGCTCAGGACCTTCAAGAGGGTTCCAGAATGGGGCCACGTTGTCCTTGATCTTTACCCAGGCCTCATCACCTAGCAATAGGCAAAGGGTGATGCCTCAGTTTCCCTCCCGTGGCCCCCCTCCCTGACCCCACCTGGAGGCCCCCGACCCCACCTGGCAGCTTCTCATCAGTGGTGCTGGCAGCAGGGTCTTTTTGTCCCGGGAGGTACCCCATGAGCCAGTCCTTCTCCAGAGGTTCCACTGCTCTGACCCTCCAAGTCCTGGGGACACAGTTAAAACACGAGCCACTACCCACTTGTGTGGGCAACAAGTAGAGGGGCAGGACATGTTGGGCTAGAGTCACAGCTCAGACTCAAAAGGCAAATCCTTCCAATCACTGCCAAGTGCAGGCAGCCTTTTCCAGAGGCACCCAGGTCTCCGGAAAGACCCCAGGAGACACCCACAGGGGCAGGGCAGTGGAGGTGTTGGGGACACTTACTCCTTCGTGTCCTGCTCGGAGGTCCGATCCTTGCCTTTGAAACTAACAGAGCCCTGTGGGGTAAGTTTGCCAAAGGTCTGAGGTCAGCAAGGCCCTGACAGTGAGCTCCATAGCCTATAGAGCTCAGGGTACTCAGCACAGTCCTGGAAGTCTGCAGGAGGGTGCAGAAATCCCTCACATGGTTAGGGGCTTTGAGACTGACCCTAAGTGAACGTCGTGGGCTCTGGCTCTCTGGTTGCCCCTTCCTTGGACTGGCCAGAACCCAGGCTGCCATGTGAGCCTCCTGGCCCTCCCTCACCGTGCATGGTCCCCTCCAGGTGGCCCAGACAGACATGGGACCTAGCTATGTCTCCCTAGGATGTGGCTCTGGGAGCACAGTGGGCAGGGCTCACTGAGGTCATTGGCAGCTGTCTCAGGCTCCCAGGACCTGCCCCCTTTGAAACCCTGACCCTGGGATGGCCAGATCTTCCTGGGCCTCAGGACCATCTTGTCTCCCTGTAACACATTTCCCAAACTACCTGTAGCACAGTGGGCCAAGGTAAGACACCCCACCCCAAGCAGGCCAGAAGTGAGGCCCAACCTCTTCCCCCTCTTCCAGGGTGGGGAAAGGGGCACAGGGAGGAGTTGGTGCAGAACCCAGGTAGGCATCTGATGGAGACCAGCAACACCTGTCCTCACTGTTCACATCCATGTCTCTGGTCAAGGAGGACTGGGCCTCTTCCAGTACTGGTCACTTTAGCCCTAGCCCAGTGGTCAGCAAAGGAGCAAGATACATCCCCAGGCCCAGTTCAGTCCCAGAGAGTGCATCTATCTGGCCCCACAAGGTGAGCATAGGTTACATGGGATTGTCCACAAAGTCTTGTGGAAGAGGCTCCTCAGCCCCCAGAGTGGCTACTTCTTGCCAGGTCAGCTAGGAGTTGGCACAGGCAGGGTCTGTCTTGATCATGTCTGATGGTTGGGCGCAGTGAAGAAGGGTCTGGGGCCGGACGTCCCTACATACCGGAAGCACCAGGGCTGTGCCCTCCTCCTGCAGCATCACAGCCACCAGGCTGGCAAGTAGGATGAGTCTGCAGGGAAGGAAGATCAGAGGGCATGGAGCTATTGGTAACATCCTCTCTAGTCACCACCCCATGTCCTGGGCAAGGCAACCAGCCTTCTCTGACACTGCCCAGGTAGACACTGGCAGTGGCTGGCCACACATGTATCAAGTGGAGGCCTCTGGACCAGTGCATGCCTCTGCGGACACATGTCCACCCTTCAGATTGTGAAGAGAGTTGCTCCTGTCACATATGGGAGCAAGGACACAGTGCAAGGGGTGCAGCCCTGGTTCTGGACACACAGCCCTCTGTGTAAAGGATGCTCAAGAACCACCAGTTTAGACTGGGCGCCTCACTCTGTCCCTGGAGCCTGGAACGGTTTTTGGGGGTTAGGAAGGGGAGGTTGGTGGATGGGAACCTAGAAGGAACAAAGGTGGGCTGTCTGCAAGGAGTGGAAGCAGGTGGGCACAGGACTGGAGGGTCGGCTGGGTGTCTTGCTGTATAGTGTGGAGGCCAGGTATCCTGGTAGACAGCGGAGGCTAAGGAGGGGGGTGGTAGCAGAGTACATTGAGCTTGAACCTGGAAGCCTAAAAGCAACTTGAGGCTGAGAACGTGCAGGTGGGAGAGGCTGAGGACCAACCAGCCTAGCAGTGGTGAGGATGAGCCTGGGGAAGGTCAGCCAGAGGGAAAGATACCGAGAGGAGGGCTGCTGAGGACAGGCAACAGCACACGCACAGCTGAAGGTGCGGGGAACATGGCCACTCACATCCCAGTAAAGACAAGGCCCTGTTGGGTGCATGTGTGTCAAACAGGGCCTGAAAATCAGAGCCATTCCCTGGCTCACTGGCAGGCCAGTGACATCACTTCTCCTGGAGCTCCACCCCAGGCTGTCTAGGGCTGGGTTCTGACTGCCTTGGGGAGGGGTGCTGAGCCCCTCATGGCCACTTCTCTGGCAGTTATGGTTGCTGCTGCCTTTGCATCTACCCCACCTCACAGTGACCCTGCTTATGTTTATACAACAACATCCTTCCAGGCGCTGCACCATCGCCAGTCCGTCCCATGTTGTGGCAGGCACAGCGTCAATCCACCTCATTGAGGATCTTCCTCTTTTTTCACCAACTTTCTGCTTTATGAAGCATGATGTCCTTCTCCAAGGACTGGTCCTTCTGACGACATGTCTGGTGTGGTTGATGAGGTCTTGCCACTCCTACATCTGTGGAGCACTGTGACTGTGCTTCATACAAAACAGATCTGTTCATGCTTCTGGTACTAACATCATCATTCAAATGCATCAATTCTTCTTTGGTCCTTTTTATTTTAGTGCAGCTTTTGCAGGCATATGAGGCAATTAAAAATGCCATGTCTTAGATCAAAGGCACCTTTAGTCCTTGGAGTGATAAACTTGCTCTTCAACACTTTATGGAGGTTGTTTGCAGCCGATTTTCCCAGTGCAAGTTTGTTTACTTTCTTGACTGCTGCACTGATCATGGATCCGAGTAAAGTGCTTTACAAGTTCAGTATTTCCTGTTTATCATGATGTTGCTTAGTGGTACAGTTGTAAGGAAATTTATTTTCTTTATCTTGAGGTGCAATTTATACTTGAAACTTCATCAGTTAGGGCTTCAAATTCTTTTCTCTTTCACCAAGGTTGCTACACATTGTTAATGAGTTTTTCTCTAATTCCTATGTCACATTTTTCATCATATAATGTAGTTCTTGGATTATTTGCTTACATACAATTTAAATAGGTATGATGAATGGATACAACCCTGACGTTCACCTTTTCTAGTTTTAAACTGTGCAGTACCCCTTGTTCTGCCACGTGAAGAATTCAAGTGCCTAGAATTCCTATTCTAGTACTAGCCATGATTTAGTATGCTCTTCATATTTTGATGTCTTTGCATAGTCAATAAAACACAGGTAAGCAGACACCTTGATGGTATTTTTCCAGCCAGACTCTGCACTAACTGGCCGGCCCAGAGACCCTTCTGCCCCTCCCACAGGGTGTGGAAATGTAGGGGTGTTCCCTTCATCCCACTGTGACCGAAGCTCCAACAGCACAGAGACCTTTGCCCTATCCTCAGTGACTCAGTGACTGGGGTGTGGTTCCTCTGCACATCCCAGAGATCAATGGGCACAGGGGCCATTTGCCCTGGACCAGGTGTGAACCCCTGCTCTGCTGTCCCCTCAGAGTCAACCTTGCTGGGGGACAGAAGGCCTGGAGCTGGACCTATCATGCACACTGGCTGTGCAGTTTGTCCCCATCCCCTGCCCAGCATCCCTGGGGGAACCCCCAGGACAAGCAGCTGACCCCCATGCTGAAGTAGCAGGTGGTAGAAGGGATCCAAAAGCCCCCCCACCCCCAGGCTCCTAAGCCACTCAATGGCTTACTCCCTACAGGGAAGGCATGACACTGATCCCAAGTTGGGGCCCCAGAGAGCACCCCAGGAAAGGAGGGGCAAGAGGCGCTGGCTTAGAGTGAGTTTCCCCAGAGTCTGGTGGGAACCTGAGCCTCAAACCACAGCTCCCAGGATATCTTCCAGTCACAACCAGCCCCCAGACGCCTCCGGACCCCCTGATCTTGACCCCAGACCCATTCTTGGAGCCTGGTGCCAGGACCTTCAGCAGACGAGCTCACTCGCAGAGACCAGGGAAGGACTTCTGAGCTGGAGCTGATAGCCCATTCAGCAAGATGTCCCACAAGGTAACTCAGGATGGGGAGTTCTGTGCCAAGCACCAGGCACACAGGAAAAGGCACAGCAACTACTGATTGCGGCCTGTGGACAGACTCCTCCTGCCCCAATCCTGGTGCTCCACGGGAAGGAACCAAGCTCAGTTCTCCGGGTAGAGAGATACCCAGTGTTGAGCTGTCGCAGTGACTAATTTTGAGGAGGGCTGGGGAGTTAGGTCTGAGGCCTCAGGTATTATTACCTCATGTCTGAGGTCCTTTTCTCCAGCTACAGGTGCTGTGCTGGGACTGTGGGCAGGATCCGGGTGTCCAGTGTATGAGCCTGTACCTTCCTCCCAAGCTGCTCCGGGTTTATTGCCCTACGCAGGCGTGTCTGGACCAGAGTTCAGGGGCCAGAACTACCACATGGCAATGCCAAGTGACTGGACCCGCCCACCACTTCAAGCCCTGTCCCCTTTGCCACCTACCCTACATTGCCCCCACATGCTCCCACGTCCCCACCCCTCGTGGCCCCGTGAGTAATCCTCCAGTCCCACACCCCCTCAGTCATTCTCTGCCCTTTCCCCACTCCCCTTTACCATCTGATCCTCTCCAACCCTTTCACTCCCCACTCCCCACCCTCTTCTATCCCCCTCCAGCCTGACCCCCAAGTCAAAAGACTCACAAATACCTCCAGCATGGCTGGAGGGTCTTGTTAATCTTAGCTCCCTTCTACCCACCAGACTCCACCCTTCCCTACTCACAACCCAACTCCTAGCAGTCCCCTCCCTGCTCTAAATGGGTCAAGGATAGGAAAAGGAGGGCTGCTATACTCAACCCCTACACCTCCGCAAAGTAGAGCCCTGAGAGCAGTGGGTTGGCTTTAGAGGGAAGGAAGGTGGGCCAAGAGCCCCCACTCCCAGAAAACATACCCATGCGTACATTCTCCCACTAGCACACACACCCACTCACACACTATTACACACACACTCATGTGTTCTCACACTAGCACACACACATTCACATACGTGTTCTCACACTACCACACACTCACACCATTACACACACGTTTCTCACACTAGCACCCACACCCACTCATACACTGTTATACTCACATCTTCTCATACCAACACACATGCATGTTCAGTCTGTTACACACTTACATGATCTTATACTAAGACACACACATTTGTCTCATTGTTACACACACATACACATTCGTGTTCTCACACTAGCACATACATCCACTCTCACACACTGTTACACTCATACATACACATACGTTCTCTCATTAGTGCTTCATGCCTTCATGTCTTCTCACACTTGTGCTCACAATCACACATATACTAATGTTCATACAACCCTCACTCTACTCTGCACTCTGTCTTTCTCACACCCATACACACCGCAGCCTACACTTGCTGCATGAGCCAAAAGAAATCTTGTCCCTGCCACTGACCTTGCACACATGTGACCCAGGTGAGAGGGACACGGGCAGAGAAGAGCACAAGGTGTGTCCTGAGTGCCAGCCACCATGGGATGAGGGTTACCCGGGGGTCTGAGGCTGGGTTAGGCTTAGGGAAGCTTGGTTCTCCTGGCAACAGACACCGGACCTCCAGAAGGAAGCACCCCTGACAGGCCACTTTGATCCCAGAGGGCAAGATGCTGTGAGGGTTGAGCACAGTGCATATGTCTGCTATAAGACACTGCTTGCATGGTGGAGGGGACCTGGGGGAGGGTTTGTAAAACAATGAAAGAATCTTTTCTTTTACTTTTCCATAATTTTTGGACTCATGTACTTATAACTT